ATTAAATGATATACTGAGGGGAAATCTGCATAGTGGGGAGAAAAAAAAATACCTCCTTTTTCTTCTGCCTTAAGACATACTCCATCAAAAGCCCCAAAATAAAAAACCTTCAGCAATCTGGTGGGGAAAAATAAATTTAGGGAGATTGCATCATTTTGTGGAAGGTGAGCGATTGACAGCTACCAAGCTGTAAACTTTCCTGGTTGGTTACACCAACCAAGGACAGCCACAGAGGTTTTTTCTAATGAAATCATGGACATCTACACTGGCAAACTGTTAAGACTAAACGTGGCACAATTCCAGTCTGTGACAGCAAGTACACATCAGGAGTTAGCATGGGGCCATTCACAACAGGCACGCTGGATCTGGCAACCCCATGGTGAACAAAAGCATTGGGTATTTGAACTTGGCCTATCCTATACCATCTGCCCTCAGTACCAGAAACCAGTCCTGGGCAAGTTTAATTTACTGATAACAGATTTAACCTGCATTTTTATTTTTAATCTAGTCAAATGTAAAATATCATCATCCTTTGTAGACAGGATGGATGATTTATTCGGTGCAGAGCTTCTTTTACTGCTGCCAGTCTTGCTCAACAATCTCCACACTCCACTAAAGTGTATGCTACCCAGTCCTTTCTTGTAAATCTATTCCCTACCTCTCCTTTCCCTCCTTTACTGATTAGATATCCCTTAATGACCTCCTGGTTTCGCAGTCTTCAGAAGACCATGTGTGATTAAACATGGTGCTTACATGTACAAAATGAAAGGGTCGTGTAGCTTTGTTCAAAATCACGAGGGAGGGCAAATACTCTAGACCAAAGGATACCAATGATTATGTCAATGCTGAACCACCTAAGTACAACTGTTATCTTAGAGAGAAGACTTCTGGTGTTTTTCAGAGTATTCAGATTGCTGGCCGAAAAGAAAACTGTATCAAGCAGCAGTCACAGAGCAAATGTGGAGAAATAGTGGTAAATTTCCTTTTAAAAAAAATTAAAAACGTAAAAACATGAAAATAGGCACATCAAGAGATGACAGACTTCTGCTGAAGGAGTTTGTGTACTCTGTGCAAAACCAGACAAAATACCCTTTCTCATAGAACATGCAGATATTTTCTTCTCTTAAAGTGAATGGGTGTGACAGACATCCCTAGAACTATATGGGCCCATAAAACTACTTAATTGACATACTTGCTTACAGTTGCAACAAGACCTGTATTTGTGAGTCCATACTATGCCTGGCAATTAATATTATTCTATTATTTACAGTAACAGCTTTATGATGTATCATCAAAGATCCTGGCTGCTACACACTGTACAAAGTCTTAGCAAAGCACTTCCACCTCCAGACAACTAACAGCTGAAACTAAGAGGAAAAATACAACAAATCAGTATAAAGAAATTACTAGTGGAAAAGCAGGTAAAATCGTTAGCAGCAAGAGTGAGATATTGATATTGCGTTCCTTTGAAAACCTGCTCCTATGGAAATTACTAACAAAACTGTCTTGACCTGAATTCTGCCTGTGGCGTGAGGCAGGCAGTTAACTAGGAATAGATTTCTCTGCCTCTTACGTCCCTGACAGTGCTCCTCCAGTAGGGTCCTCAGAGGTGCTCCTGCTGCATCCACATGGCATCATCTGTTAAGAATGAGCATTGGTCCTCATTGCTCGGGCAAACAGAAAGGTGCGAAAGAAAATTCCCTTTC